CTACTCACTAACACACTCAGCTACTCACTACAGTACATTAGTGCCTGGTCACGACACACTCAGCTACTCACTACAGTACATTAGTGTCTGGCTATGACACACTCAGCTACTCACTACAGTACATTAGTGCCTGGCTATGACACACTCAGCTACTCACTACAGTACATTAGTGCCTGGTCACGACACACTCAGCTACTCACTACAGTACATTAGTGCCTGGTCATGACACACTCAGCTACTCACTACAGTACATTAGTGTCTGGTCACGACACACTCAGCTACTCACTACAGTACATTAGTTTCTTAGCGTTTCTCCGTCTCCCTATCTCTCTTTTTAGACTCATTTAATCTCCCCATCTCCCTGCTTCTTTTCCCATTCTGAATTGCCTCTCCATCTTCCGATCTGTTACCCTACAATTCCTAACTGAGTCAGTATGATAACTGCGTTTCCATGTGTTGACTGACAGTCCTGAGAGAGAGAGCAAGGAGAGCCCACCTTCCACAGAGAGGGGCCGGGCAGCTAACCGGAAGACTGTAGCATCTCCCGTCGCCCAGGCTGCCTTGCTGCCACCAGATGGCGCCTCTCACCGTATTAAGCAGCCCATGCCAACAACCTCGTGTGCTGCTGGTCATGGTAAGCAAACTATGCCAGTAGAGGGCACCACTAGTCAGGGTAAGCAGCCAGCCAGCACTGCAGCACAGGCGACGCCGAAGATGGGAGGCGAGGCGGAAGCGAAAAAGGCTAGAGGGCCGACGGTGGTGACATCTGGTGTGCGAGTCGGCGGGAGCTGGGCGGACAGAGTGAAGGCGTTGCCACATGCGACGGCCATTGTCAAGCCGCAGCCCGTCGCAACTACGGAAGGTGAGTTACACACCAACTTGTATCCATCGTGAGGGTGTACACATGAATGATTACCAACGTTTAGCAATGAATCCTTCATAATATTAATATATAATCATGGGTCAGCTGCAGTATGTCTATATTTCGCTCATGCACGGTCAGTAATTTTTTTCGGCGCGTATAATACTACTTTTCATGTAATAATACGTTCAACTTTTGTGGCTAATGCTTTTCATAAGATTATTTCACTATATTAAACTGTGATGAACTATATTTAACTGATTATATCAAATCAGATGATCACTATATTATGTATAATATCAAGAGCGTATTAAGAAGGAGAGCGTACAACGGTGAAATGCTGAATCCATGGTGCAGTATTAGTCGAATTAAGAAACCTTGCCCGTTTTATTTTGACGATTCTTCCGTTTCCCAAAGCTATCTCAAAGCGAGAGAGGGTCGCAGCTAATGCTGGGTTTACACTATCGATTTTTGTCAGCAAATCGTACCGATTTCAAGTGCAACACAATCACCGTCCAACACAATGGGCTGAAATTCGATTGTGTTGGTGTCGGAGTCGGAGACAAGTCGACGAGTTGGCGAAATAGAACGTGTTCTATTTTGCTCGACTCGGATTCGTGAAATCGGCGAGTTGGTCACATATCCAAGTGGATGTCAAGCATTGCTAAGTCGATTGTCAACGCATTGCAAAGTGTTGCCAAAAGCTTGCCCAATCATAATCCACAGTAGTTGATGTCACAGCATTGCTAATGTGGATTGTCCAAGCATTGACCAATCATATCTAAGTGTGTTGTAAGACATATCCAATCCATATCCAAAGTTGGTCGATGATCCGAAGGGCATTGCTGAAGTGCTTGCAAGCATTGCCAAGATGTTGGCCAGCATCTGCAATCATATCCAAGTGTGTTGCAAGCATTGGCTAAGTGTTGTCAGCAGATTGACAATCATACCTAAGTGTGTTGTCAAGCATTGCTAAGTGTTGGCAAGCATTGATAATCATATCTAAATGTATCGTCAAGCATTGCCAAGTGTTGCCAAGCATTGCCAATCATATCCAAGTGTGTTGTCAAGCATTGCTAAGTGTTGTCAAGCATTGACAATCATATCTAAGTGTGTTGTCAAGCATTGACAATCATATCTAAGTGTGTTGTCAAGCATTGCCAATCATATCTAAGTGTGTTGTCAAGCATTGACAATCATATCTAAGTGTATCGTCAAGCATTGCCTAATGTTGTCAAGCATTGCCAATCATATCTAAGTGTTGTTAAGCATTGTCAATCATATCTAAGTGTGTTGCAAGCATTGCCTAATGTTGTCAAGCATTGTCAACCATATCTAAGTGTGTTGTCAAGCATTGCCTAATGTTGTCAAGCATTGCCAATCATATCTAAGTGTTGTTAAGCATTGTCAATCATATCTAAGTGTGTTGTCACACAGCACTCCGGCACCTTGCACTCGATGACGCTCTCGTCTGTCTCGCACGTCTGGTAGATTCTCCACCCGACCCGCGCCGCTGCAGGTTGTCAAACAGGAACGCCAGTAAGCGCGCGTCCGGCCAGGTCGCGCTTTGGTGCCGCTGGCGCCCCCTGCCTGACGGCTGCGCTCGGTCTTCTCGCGCGGACTGCCGCAGGACGGCGTCCGGCGCACCTTCGGCGGCGACTTCGAGTCGTGATGACGCGTCTTGCTCGCCAGGGGGCGGGCCGCGGACGGCTTTGGTTTCGCTGATGGAAGAACGAGATGGCGGGCGGTTAAAGCACAACATATTTGACAGCAAGATTGTTATCTGATATTTGTAGAGTCAGACTGCCCCGCATAAGATTGGGTGGGGACTGAGGTTGGGTGGGGACTGAGGTTGGGTGGG